ACAGATGAAAAGTATCATCCCCAAGGCATCCAGGGCAATTAATGGGTACACGAGAAATGCAATTTGTTCCGAAATTTCATTCCCGAACGAGATGGTAATGTACGACCCAAGTATTACGGCGAGGCAGCCCGCCGTGTAGAAAAATTGGAGATGGAAGCTTTGAAAGTGACCGTTGTATATAGATTCTATAAATTTTACTTGGGAGTATAATCTTAGCTGGAGGTCGATTTGATGCCCACTTTGAGAGCGGATCTGTGTGCTTCTTGAAATTGATAAAGATACGATTTTTTCAAAAATACCAGTAACAACAAATGATAAATTTCCGACACAAAATGTATAAAAAATGTACGTGAGCAACGTCGAGCAAGTGTAAACAAAATTTACATACGTATAAAATTAATCAGCAAAAATATCGTTTTGCCCCAACTAACTAGATCATTTGTTCGACAAACCTGCAAATATTTGTAGTTTCGTCTATCTTTCCATTAAGAATTTGCACATATGCCAAAATCGTGGTCAATATTGTTCCATACGTGGTCCCCACCAAAAATGCGGCATTGGCGGCAAACCAGTACCACACAACGAACTCAATGAAATCGAGAAACACTACGATTTCGAAATTTCCAAGGTGACATTCTTTCGATTCTTCACTGCTCATAAAAATCGACCTTAACATTGGTACCATACAAGGATCCAACAATTTTAGGATGGTAACACAAATGGGTATCCCAACCGCGGTAAAGCACATTTGCAGTATCCAAACCTTACCTGTTCAAAAAAAGTTTCTTCATTCAGATCTCGTTCAATTTAAAAGTATGCATGTATGAATTGATTGAGAATGAATGAAGAATTTATTAATTCTCTGGTAATAAATGAATGTGAACAGGAATGTTTCAAACCTTACACAGTTTTAGGATTGATGTACAAGGGAACTTATTTCGTGCGGAGTGATGGCCATTAGTATTTTCAAACCTTAGCAAAATATTCAACATTCCCGCACACACGGCTGGGTCGAGATAAATTGGCGAAAATCCGATAAAGGTCAAAACCCAGTAGGAACTCCGGAGCAGTTGAGACTTTCCCAAGGTTTTGGATAATCGGAGATTATTCACAAACAAAAATAATCCGTACAATATAAAACAGAATTTTCTAGAAGAGTAGATTAATCGATGTTTTATTCCAACAGATGGGGCTATTTTCAACCATTTCGATTGCCCGGCAATCCATCGGATTTTATACAACCCTAAGAAATTTGAAAATATGATTTGAAGATTTACAAGATTTTCTAAGCGGTTGAGAAACATGTTCTAAATATGAAATTAGTTTAATTGTGGATGCTTTAAAAATGTTAATATGCGCAATTTTCTGAAATTTGGCGAACGCAAAATAAATGCGACTAGTGTATTTCACCATTCAAAATGTCCAAACACCTTCGCCCCTCAAGTTGACGAAATAGTTTCATCACCCACAACCAACAGTGGAGGTCTCCCAAGGGTATGCTCTCGGATTTTAAACAAATTAGCGTCAATTAATTACAAACTTAATTATTATATTTAGATAAAACTTGCAAAACGCATGGTTTTCTAATATATAATCTCGTCTGACAAACATATTTGCATCCGAGAAAGAGAAAACGAGGGGTATATTTATTTATGTAGGAAGTATAAAATCTGCCAACTTTATGGCGAGTCTTATCCTCATTTTATGCAAACATCTCCTCCAAACCTGCGCATTGGGGGGTCGTGTCAATTGAAAATTTCATATTAATTAAACTTCTGACCGATTTAAACAACTTTGCGAAAAATCGAAGAACATACGCTGGGAGACCTCCCTTGTTACTTATACAAGAGTGTTATTGCCTAAAACTGGTATCTCTAGTGAGAACTATTTTATCGAACAATCTCTCCAGAAAGTTCTTGAGAAATGGGATGAATATTTAGTTAACGATGGAGAAAATATGTTTACTATTCTAGTGTCCACTATCCAGTTTTATGTAATTCTACTCTGTTCGAAAGTGAAAGAAAGGATTACGCAACGCTCGCATAAATTATTGGTTATTTACTAGACTGGCCCGTTATGAATTAGATACATATGTATGTACCTAGCTGAACTCCTTGTTCGATTAAGGATGGGTCGTCGGGTCAGTGTTTTGTGACAAGGTTTGTTAGTTATAAGTGGGACATATGTATGTACATTTGCCCAAGCCGATTATTAATAATTTATATATGTTACGTGATTAGTTAACTTTCCTTTCGTAACGATTATAACATTTAATGGTTTTAGATAAGTCTTGCTACATAATTGTTGCGAGCTTTACTTTTCTTGCCGTAACAGAAACATATGTAGGTACATAACTTTTTAAAGGTTCTTGTGTTCTGGGTTTTCAACTTAGGATTAGGAAATATTTATGTCGGTATCTAAATACTTTCATTCTATAATTAGTTATTTGTTATTTTTTTGTCCAAAGTCGGAAAAATGAATCAAATTTCACTCTTAGCAAAACGGGAGAAACGACCACATGAATTATTCCAACTTTCCCAAATCCCATCGCACTGATTTGTGGACCACGGGGGAACATTTCTACTGAATACGTAACAAACCTGGAGTAAAACTAGTATTAAGAACTCGAAATATGTACCTCGATTACCTATAATTAGAGACCCGGCTAAATTTTGTTACGCCCAAAATTTTCATTTCAAATCTACATCTTTAAACGAGTTTTATCTGGTTTTTTTTAATTTTTCGTCATGATTTTATCTATTATCAACTAGAAATTAATGAGTGCCTTGCAGTTCATAGTGAGCGTTTCATAGTCATGTCTTTCATAGTTTTCGTTTCATAGTACATGAGTTTCATAGTTGTTTTTTACATAGTTATTTGTTAATTTTCATAGTCATGCACTACATAGTCAATTTTTTACATAGTGGAAATGTTACATAGTGGGAATGTTCCATAGGATATGTTTAAAATAGTCGCAATCTTTCATAGCCCCTTAAAATTTCTAAATCTATAATTGAGCATCATAAATCAATTTAGAGTAGCGGATCATTTTTATCCAATTGAAGTATCTTAATCGTATGTTGTGGTATAATAACTCTTTATTGATTTCGAAGAATAACGTTTTCATGGTTGGTTCAAATCTGTTATCACTTCGAAGGAAGGGAAAAACCCAAGTACCAATAAATATCTTACATGAAATGCAATATATCGAGTTCAAATTTGCCATAAAGTTTTAACTTCTGGTTTAATTAAATTTTGTTATTTTAACTTTGGTATGCTATGCAATTATTATAATATCTACTTATTTTATTATGCCTGGGAGCGTGTATCATGCGGTTTTAGCATGCCTGTCTGTGGTTATCAGATGTCAAGCTTTAGAATCTGAGGGACATCGCACTGAACACCTAATTATTTATTTAGTACATGCTTTACTTTAGTACATGAATATCAAAGAATTCTTAGCATACTCATGGAAAAAATAATTCTGCAAAAGCATTGCAGTGCACATTGAAAACAATGTCGCAATCCAGAATGTGTACTATATAACAGTGGTATCAATACTATGTAGTGAAATCACTATTAAAATTATTCACTATGAAAGAGACTCTACTATTTAAGTAACGACTATTTAAAGCCAAACTATGTAAAAGCCGACTATGAAAAAACGAACTATGAAAAGCCTTTGCTATGAAAACGAAACTATGAAAAAATGACTATGAACTGCATGGCACCGGAAATTAATAGGTAAAAATTAGTAGTTCGACTTGTTCGTTGATTACCATAATGTGCAACATTTTTCTGGAATGGGGTATGAACGGGGACACAGCGGACAGTACAGGCCATAATTAGAAGCCCGGCCATAAATGGGGACCCGGCTATAATTAGAGACCCGGCTAAAATTTTGAAATCTCGGTCTCTAGACCCGGCTATATTTGGAGACTGGCTATAATTAGAATAGGGCTATAAATAGAGGTTTTTCGGTATATAACTTACCTAATGTATCTGTCATTCCTAGACAGATATGTACGTACATTCATATCTACATACATATATTCAAATACGCGAAGCAGACCGGGGACCGTGCATAAATTGTGTAACGCAAAAATTGCAGTAATCTAGACCCCCTTGCCCCTTTTACACGCTGTAAAGCATCCGGTAGAGTCACATATATACTCCGTACTGATATTGATTTGGTAATAATTTCATACCGGGTTGGTTATAGTTTGATTCTGAGTGGTAAAGATTTCATTACTATCTCATTACTGCGTCGTAACGATCGATATTACCGATGCCGGTGGAGTCATATACATATGTACTCCGTCCGGTAATAATTCGTAATGATTCAATTCCAGTTGCCTAAGAGTGCATGCGTAACATACATATTTCTGTAGGCACCATATTATATTATAGAAGCCTTAGACCAACTCTCGCGTCACAAAATTTATGGACGGCAAAAATGACAAAACATTTAATTTTTTCCAGGTGGTGACTGTAATTTGCCAATATTTGCCTGTCAAAGGCATCAAGAATGCGAGATTGGTCAGGAAAGTGTGGAATTATGTGGCATCCTACCGCTTAAAGGAGGTGACCCGACTGTACCTGGATTTTGACACGAGAAAACTTAACCTGAATTTAATTAAGCAATTTATGTATGCAAATAGGTATGTACTATGTGGAGTGACCAGACTACTCATTAACAGATAGCCAGGCCAGCGGCGGTAGCACATTAAAGGCTAATTGCCGACATGCAAATAGGTATGCACAAAAGCACGATGATGAGAAGCACTGCTCCTCAACTTTGTCTTCTGTATCTTTCTGTGTAACCTGCATAAGATATGAACTTTCTAAAAGTAACCTACCATCTCACGCTCAAACATCTCTGTAAAGTGAACTTACAGATATGTACGTTAAACAGATGCAATAACCTGAATGTCGTGAGATGTATGTACGTACGTATGTATGTATGTATATATCTTCAAACAGATGAAGTAACAAGACAAAACACGAGGAACAAGGCTGTACTAACCTTGTGTCGAACTTTCTCTCCAACTTTTGCAAAAGATACGGTTATTGCAGAAACAAAGTAACGAAAAAGATTTAAAAAACCTAAAAGAACGATCGTAAAATGCATTTTACATTGTTACATATAACCTGCATTCTTTAATTGGTTACACAATGTAAGACTTTTAAAAAGCGTTATTGGAACCTGCCCTTACTGAATTTAAAATACCTGCAAATACTCCTTAAAATAATCTTGGGATGGAAATTTGGCAAGAATTTACACATCAGTCCAACACGTGCCTTGTTGAGCAGGTAAAATTCGTACTTTTTTCCTGAAATTTTGTGTGGGAGTTTTTATTTTTTATTTATTTTATGGATTTTCCTTAATGTGAATAAAAAATGGGCCTAAATTTTCCGTCATTCTAATTTTTAATCCTCCCTACTACTTCACATTTATGTATAATATAGACGATTTACTGATTAAAATTATACATTATTTGAGAAATACATATTTTTTCAAGTAGATCAAATTTTTAAGAATGTTTTACAGATTTTTACTTAATTATAAAATTTACTAATTTAATGAAATTTTATGAAATCGAACGCTGCTCGTCTTGTTCGATTAGTTTTAAGCGTTTAAATTAATCAAAAAATATCAATTTTATTCCAGGTGGTGACCATCATTTGCAAATATTTACCTGTGCAAGACATCAAAAATGCAAGGTTGATTAGCAAAGTTTGGAATTATGGGGCGTCCTACAGATTAAAGGAGGTGACCAGACTGTGCTTGGATTTTAACCCGAGAAATTTTGACCTGACCTTAATTCAACGCCAATTAAATTTCCGACCGCACCACGTGACCATCCTTGTCCGAGGGCTTACTCCGATAAAAGGAGGAGCATCGTGTCAACCGGAAGTCGTGGTTCCGTCCGGACTGAATTTAAAAAGTTTATGGATCAGGGGCTGGGCACGGAGTAATTTGAAAGATGTGGAGGTGCAAATTGTTGGCGAAATTTTTGCAAAAAGTTACACAACTTTAGAAGAGATTAGATACTGTGGGTACATCTGGCCAAAATTTGGGGACGGGGTGGTGTTCAAAAAAGTAAAGGGGTTGGCGATACGTTCCCTCCAGTGGGGACAGTTCTCCCACGTGTCGCAAATTTTCCTTAACACGTGTCCCAACTTGGAACGGCTGGAGATGGATTATTCGGGAAGGAGCTTATGGAAGAAGAATCCGACACATTTCCCAGGGTAAATTTTGACACATTAAATAAATTTGGGGGTGATTTTGCAAAATTTTGGGGAAGAATGTATTTATTTATATTTACATGATTTACGATAGAGGTAAAAATACGTGATTTAAAAAGGAGAGATTTTGACCCACTAACAATGCAGGTCTCCTAACGTATGCTCACACCTTTGGAACAAACTAGTGCCAATCGATCGCAAATTTAATTAGTATGAAATTTGCAAATGGCACCATCTGCCAATCGTTGGACTAATTCTGAAAGGGCCAGAAAGAACCGGAAGAGCGATAGATGGGGCTGGGAATTTGAAAAATACAATGAATCTTATTTATTTATAGTTTTTACATATTTAGATTGTTTTTTTTTCAGTGCAAGATATTCCAGGATGATAAGAAACTTGAGATATTCATATTCTAATTATTATATTGCGCTTAGGTCTTTTCAATAGTTTTTCTTGTGTACTTAGGCCCTTTCTGAATTAAATATCGATTGCACTTTGGCCCTCTCGGAATTAAGTATCGACTGCACTTGGGCCCTCTCGGAATTAAGTATCGACTGCACTTGGGCCCTCTCGGAATTAAGTATCGACTGCACTTGGGCCCTCTCGGAATTAAGTATCGACTGCACTTGGGCCCTCTCGGAATTAAGTATCGACTGCACTTTGGCCCATTCAGAATTAGTCCGACGCAATGCTAATGTTTAGCGGAGATATTTACAAAAAAGGAGGAGAAAATTTAACTCATCGACCCGAAAATTTTACAGTTTCCCAATATGCTACACATTTTTCCCGTTTTGGATGTCAACCAATCTCTACCAAACCTGCGTATTGGCAGATATGTAGTTCAGTTTGCAAATTCCATACTCATTAAATTTGTGATTGCCATTAATTTGGTTCAAATCCGTGAGCATACAGACGTTGAGAGACGAGACCCCGATTGTTAGTGGATTAAAAATTTACTCAAATTATGAAATTTGCAAACAATACGATGGTAAAATAAATTTATTCTCCTCTGCTTCCAGCTCCTTGACGAGTTTAATCTTCAACACGGAATTCATTCAAGGCACCTGGATTTCCAAAAATTTCGCCCAAAGACTTCTCAACTTCCCGAATTCTCTCCGAGTCCTGCACTTCCATCAATACTTTGACGAACAGGACACGGAACCCTGGCTCTTTCGACTGCTGCACAAACATCACAGCACCCTTGTCGATCTCGGTGTCACTTTGACAGGTTATTACCCGGACGTCGTCCTGCCACAACTTCCGGTCTTGGAATCCCTGGAAATTAGTGCCCGGGGAGATTACGACGTTTGGTGGGCGGACGAGATAAACCCCACGGAGAGGATTGACTATGACAAATTTTTGCCGAAATTAGCCCAACTTACCATAAAGTGTGGCCCGGGTGTGGAAAGTTTCGACTTGGTGGATTCCTTTCTCCCGGTTAAACCGAACAAGTTAATTGAACTTGTCGGACCGGTGTGCGAAACGGTGAAGGAGGTTTTTATTCGCGAAAATCTGGAAGGCCAGGAAAAGTTGAATGAACGGTTGCAGCAGTACTGTTTTTTGCGTATGGTTTGGCCAGAAGCGGAAATCACGTGCACGCACAGAAAAATCCAAACCGAATTGACACCATGCCCGTGTCACGCTGTGACTGTACCGGTTTGGTGTCAAATTGATACGGTGCGGTGTGAATTACGTTTTACACCGTTGTAGTGGTTGTGACATCCCATTGGATGTGTAAATAATTCAATATGTATGTCGGAGTAAATGGTAGTACTAACCAGGTATACTATGTATGTGTGACAACGATCCAGCCTATACGTTTGATGCAAATTTTAATACTAGCCCGATGGTCTGAACTCATTTTTGTGCTAAATTCACTTTCCGACAAGTTGTATCGACATTACCTGCGCCAAACGGGCACTTTTCCCAATGCTTTAGCAAGCGAGGAAATGAAAGTAGTGGATCGTCCGCGACTTTCTCACTCCACGCACGGGTCATCGACCCTGGATGATCCGTGCTTCCAGTTTTAGGTAACACCTTTCACATTTCTCTCTTGCTAAAGCATTGGGAAAAGTGCCCGTTTGGCGCAGGTAATGTCGATACAACTTGTCGGAAAGTGAATTTAGCACAAAAATGAGTTCATACCATCGGGCTAGTATTAAAATCTGCATCAAATGTATAGGCTGGATCGTTGTTACACATACATAGTATACCTGGTAAGTAAACTAAATTTAAGTTACTTTTTTAAAGTCAAAAACTCGCAAATAAAGAAATAAATTGAGTATCATAAATATGTGCCACTTCCTCCTAAAGCACCAAACACTTTGGTCGACCTGGGTTTAACGTTGGAATATTATGATCGAAAAATTAAAAACCTTCAGCTTTTTAAAACATCATTCTAACAAATGGTTCCCAGTGAGTTGGATAGTTCGTAACATTTGGAATAGATAACTACACACATTATTTGTTATTATGTATGAGCTTTGCATGTAATTTTTTGAAAATTGTATCTTTGTAGATTTGGAGAAGTTTCAAGATCTTCCAGTATGCAAAGTATTTATATCGAATAAAATATATACATAAGCTCTTCATAAATACGGTGTCGTACTTCAAACCCAAACATGGGGAAAGTTAGAATCACTGCTGTGCCCCAAAGAATGAAAAATGTTTGTATGGATCCCCCTAAATCGAACGAATTACCATCTTTTTTGGTTTGAAAGGCTCGCGCACTTCCATCGGGGGCTAGTTTTCGTGGCAAGTTCAAACGACTGGATATTTGTTTCTCCCCCCGGAGGAGAACTCCACTCTCAAATAGATATTGAATATTTTTGGAACTCTGGAAATTCCCGTGTGTCGAAATACCCATTCAAATGATTCCTTGTGTAAAACTTCCCTCCCTTTATAGATTTTGTGGTAGGGATAGTGCTCCGCCAAGAAGGCGTGCTCCATTTTTTGTCATCTTGTAACTTTTAGGTATGTAACTAGCTTAAATCGCATGTTGTTATAAACTATTATGTTATAACCCCCTGAAGTTTCACCTGAAAACTAAAAAATGTACGTAAAAATTTAATGGACTCATGTAATTAATTTGAAAGTTTGAGTCTGAATGTGTAAGATATATAATGGAAGAAAAACGTATGTATGTACATATATAAAATGTAATATAAATAAATGTTATGCATATATCTCAATATAAATATGTACTTCTGAACATCTTGCACGAGTCATTCTTAAAAAAATTCACGATGACTCTTGATATCTCTGCTTTTATTGCATTAATTAAAATACCTATAACGCTTAGCGTATATTTACAAATTCGTATTGGCACAGTGATTACATATTTATGAAACCTGACATCAAACTAATTATGGAAGGAGAGCCAAAAAAATCAACAGCTCTCTAAACAACACACTTTTTACATTAAATATTATTAGGGTTTGCTTCGGTATGAAAGAAACTTTTGATAAAATGCCTGTAAAATTAGAAAAACTTAATTAATTTCAAAGAAATTTTTAGTGGTTATAAGCAAGGTCCCTACCATTCACTTTTTTGCTTGGTATGGTCCATACACCCCCTGCCTTCCTATCTGGCGAATTTTTTGTCCCGCAGTCCCCATAAGTGCTTTGCCACTCTCTTTCGCTACCGCTTTTGAAATTCGTGTCCAAATCTGACGAAATCCTCTCAAATTTTTGGCTGGTTTTGTTCGACGACTATATTCTCCCTTGCATAAAGCCCAAAATCTTTCAATTGGTCTTGCCTGAGGAACGTTGGGAGCATTATCCTTTTTTTCAACAAAATCGATTTTTTGCGACCGAAGATAGTCCACAACAACTTTTGAATAATGACATGTTGCCATGTCCGGCCAGAAAAGTACATTACGGTTATTGATAAAAGGGATCAAGATCTTCTTTACACAATCATTCAGATACCTCTCCGAGGTCATGGTGGCTGTGGTCACGAACGGCTTTGAGACGTTTCCCTCTGAGTCCAATGCTTGCCAGATCATGTACTTCTTGGGAAATTTTGACTTCGGTTTGTATTTGAAAGCATCTTTAACCGTTTTCTTATTAGTACATGAGTAGTACTTTCTCCCAGGGACTTCATCTGGATCAATCGAGCAATAGGTCTCATCATCCATGACCAGAATCACGGGGACGTTTTGCTTGAGTCGTTTTTCAGCAATCTTCCGACAATTACTGCGGTGCAAGGTTGACGAAGCTATCTTCCTACATAAACTGTTTGCAAGCCAACAATTTGCAAATATGCTATAAAAACTTCGTAATGCAAAATCCACGCCCGGATGACACCGCATTTTCCAAACCTCTTGACTTAATGGATTTCAAGTTGCGGGCGTGTTTGCACACCTGTCGTGCTATTAATATGCATCTAGCTACTCTGATCTCATCAAATTTCAAATCAACCTGGACACGAGATTATTAGGCGGCGTCAGATGCTTCATGTTATCGTTTTGTCTGTCCGTCAGTCAGTCCGTCTGGCTATTTATGTACGCCTTAATATAGTCAAAATCTATGTTGACCAGCGTGTTTCAATTTTTAGTGGAGGTGTTGTTCATAGGTCAAAGGTCTAATATAGTTTTGATTTTTATATTGTGGGTTATTATTTTGAAAGAAATATCGATGTAAACACCGTCAAATGATGTTATTAGTCCATTGCTCGTAATGGACCATGGTCCACCTTTTGGTCCACTATGGACCACAAACTAATTTATTACGAGCGATTCCATGTCAGATTGTCCTGACCAATATGGAGTGGGTCAATTTGTCCCAGGGTCAATATGATCGGACCAATTTGTCGCGGGTCAATCTGACGGGGTCAATTTGACGCCCGACCATTGCCAGCCATGTATTAGTCACGCAATTTTCATGTGGTTTTAATTTTAATTTTATTAAATTAAATTTAAATTAGTTTTAATTTTAGATTTAATTTTGCTAGCCTCGTTTTTAAGTCTGCTCGTATCATTTTTGTATGTTCAACACGGTTTATTTGCAAAGTAAACAGTGGAATGTTTATATTATAAAAAAATGTATGTGTGTTACACAGATTTTTTCTCCAATCAAGCAAACTATTTACCTTGACATTCACCCAGCCAGTTGTCATGTTACATACGTCTCACTTATTTATAAAACCTTCAGTTTTATAAAAACTTTCCAGTCCAACAAGTTCCATTCGTTGGTCACCATGCCGTCTAAAATTCTCTTTGCTTTCGTCCTCCAAATTTACCTCGTTACGTGTCAGGATGGAGAGCCCTTATTTTTGACGCCGCTCATTAAGGCGGGAAATATCACGGAGGCACAACGGCTCAGTAAAGTCGGGGGGTTTTTGGCGTACCCAGAAATCACGAGCTATTCCGGATTTATAACGGTTAATGAGGAGTACAATTCCAATCTATTCTTCTGGTTCTTTCCTGCGCAGGTAATTTATGCACATATTTATCTAATTAATCTTATTATAATGGTCTTAGATAAATATGTTGAGGCAATTCACGCAGGCTTTGGAAATATTGACAAAATTACGAAATCTGTAAACTGACAAGCTCATAATGAAATTTATGTTAGGCAGACCAAGGGAATTCTTTTTGCAAAATTATCTTAACATAACTAATTTGCGAAATGCATAGATTTAACGAGTTACCAATGGCTGCGTGAATTGCTGTATTTTATTGGTTTACTTTTATGAAAATTTTTTTTGTGAAAGTCTTTGGGTAAAAAAGTACATAATTTGTACCGTTATTAAATAGGTGATTTTTTTCTTCAAAGGTTTGAATGAACGAACAAATATTTCTGCACTTCATATTTATGGAGAACGAATGAATAAATAATTTTTGCAATTTTTTTTAATTCAGTAAGGTTTGTGTTCGTTTTGAACTATTACTGTGTTACTTTTTTCACATTTCACAAAAACGTGTGCAGCGACGGTGCAAACTTTACCGAGGAAAATTATTCAGAAATAATTTTTTTACTCATCCAGAATAATTCGACCGATGCGCCCGTCTGGCTTTGGAGCGAGGGTGGGCCCGGTATCACCGGCCTGCACTCACTCTTCAGCCACAACGGTCCCTACTTCCTGGAGGAAGATAAGCACATTCGTCTACGAAATAATTCCTGGCACATGACGCAAAATATTGTCTATTTGGATAGCCCCGTCGGCGTGGGTAAATACCAAAATAAATTTGAATATGTATAAAAATTTGCAAATTGATGATAAAAAAGCTTGCTAATTGAATTCGTCTAATTAACAAATTCTTAGGATTCAGTTTCACCCAGAACGAGGCAGCATACGTTAAATCCAGTGAAGAAGCAGCGCCCGCAATTTACGAATTTTTACTCCAATTTTTCCAATTATTTCCTCATCTGGCACAGAATGATTTCTATAATGGAGGAGTTTCCTATGGAGGTGGATTATGTTTTCAATTTGTTATAGATTTTACAAAATAATGTTCCTATTTAAAAAAAAAACCTATTTTTCGGAGTAACATTTTGTTTTTACTTAAATAGCATCATACGCGAGCGTGGTGGCGAATTATATCCACACCCAGAATCAAAATAGTCCCAATTTTGCCATAAATTTGAAAGGAATCCTGCTCGAGTCGCCGTGGGTTGACCCGATTTCTCAATTCGATTATTCCACTTATCTCCATAACGTAGCCATCATTGATGACAAAACGAAAAGGGAGTGCGACGTTAAGGCCGACATAGTCAAGGAGCAGATCAACCAAGGAAATTATTTGGGTGCCTTTGCAGTAATGAAATTGGATCAATTTTTAATTTCATTCTGATTGATTTGTATAAATATGTACATACTTTTTACCAACGTCCAATCCAATTTCATAATTTATTTGTCTTTATTAGCGAAATTTGTGATAAATACAGAAGACAAAATCTTGTAAAATTGTTACATGAGGGCAGTATTACAAATTGAAAATTTTCAGTTTCAATTTCCAGAAAACATACACTCTAAAAAAGAACTCTAAAAAATAATCCTTTCGAAAGGCAAATTCACTCTGGATTTTGATAAACTATCAAACCGCATATCCTTGACAGGTTTCAAATCGGACACAAATTCCAAGCTTTGATCCTTTAACGTTACTTTGAATTTAATTTGGTTTGATTATATGTAGCATGGAATTCAGAGTGTACATATTTACATTTCTTAATGTAACATTAGTTTTTGAATTTGGAACAAAATTTTTAAGGAACGAATGTAATTTTTGTTCTCAAATTTGTTCCCTGTTTTTGAAACTTGGCAACTGCTTTGATCACGTTTTTTTTCTCTTCAGACGTGGCAACAATTGGTCGGCTCCATTCCTACCGCTGCGGGATTCTACCCAATGTACAATATCATTAAGGATACGATAAACTACCCGAATTTTACCGACCTGGTAAATTCGGAGTCTGGCAGACGATCTCTGCACGTGGGAAATATGTCCTTCTCCTTCGTCTCGCCACGTGTTCAGGGCGACATGCACAACAATTTCATGGCCTCGGTAAAATCGCATTTAGAATCCGTACTAAATGCAGGATACAAAGGGATCATGTACGTCGGTAATTTGGACGCCGGACTTCCCGGGGTTGCGGATATGGTAAAGAATTTGAACTGGGATGGAGCCGAGGAATTGAACAATAGCACGAGAGGAATTTGGCGGGTGGATGGAAAAGTTGCGGGGTATTTGAATTCCGCGCGGAATGCGAACTACATTGTTATGAGGAATGCGGGTGGGTATTTATGAAAGTGGCGGGAATTAAAGACATTTTCAAATTTGAATATATACCTCTGTAGGTCATGGATGCAACGGGGACCAGCCCGAATGGGGTTTCGACCTTGTTAACCGATTTACTAAAGGAGACTCCTTTATTGAAGGGTTGAAGTGATCAAGCATAATTTTACATGGACATAATTAAACCATCGATTATTTTATCAAATTTTGCATTAGATACATTGGTTCAAATCAAATTTAAATATTTGGTAATAAAATCTAATTTAATACATTCAAATACATATATGTACATATCTACCCGTCTGCCATGGTACAATTTTTTTGTAAGGTCCTAGCGCATAAATAATCTTTAATATTTGCAAATATTATGTTTCTCAATATATAAACCAACTTTCCTTTCGTCCTTATCGTTTAGGTCCGTTTCCTGTTTACAAAACATATTTCAAATACAATCGAATATACTGTTTAAATAGTTTAATTCGGGATTATTATTAACGCACCCAGGAAAATACTGAAAAGTACCCAGTAAAGTATTGAAAATGAATAATACTGAATGTTGCCCAGATGAATTGTTTTATCCACCCAATATAAAACCAAAAATGCCCAATAATATCGTGACATATAAAAGTGATAACGACTTTGGTATGAAAAACACTAATTAGCCATTTATTTCCTCCAGATTATTCAACAATAAATTTTTACATAGTAATCAATGCCCGCTTAGCTTTGGTAAGGCGTTAATAGGCCCACACCGTCTCCCTATTAGAATCGTCTTGGCTTCTGGCCTCTGGGCATACTTCGTATAGTTTGTGTATAATCGTGATACCAATTAGTGCTTATATACACACATTGTTAAGAAAATAAGACACGAGTATGATGATTTAACCCATTGATCTGTATTAAAAACTAACCAAAGCCTCTTGATACACAACTTGTACGTATCAAAAGTTTTACAACTGCGTGGCTCCCTAAGCCCCAAACATTTATTGGTATATTTATTTGTTGATTAGCTGTTGAAATAAAGTATGTAGTCGAATCGCTATCAACTTCTCAGTCCTAAAATTCGGTGAAAAATCGAATTCGGCAAGACTATCGTACATTTTGAAAAAGAAGACGGCGAAACACAACAGCGCAATGTCCCATTCAAACGAGAAATATTTTATTTTATACACCACTCCGAACGATTTTTAGTATATTTCTTCCCCTCACCAATAATGTTCCCATATACATAGTTTGGGATTTTTTTTACTTCCGTTGATTTTCAAAATTTCAAAATCGGATTCTGAATCGCTACATAGTTGTGTCGATGAATATGTACAGATAAATAAATAAAGTATGGATAGCAAGTGAACAAGGGGTAAGCGGTATCAAACTTGCTGGTATCTAGATTGCCCAATAATAACCATCACATAAAATATGAAGACCAATCCGTATTAGCATGTCATAAGAATGCACTACTAACAATGCGATGGTGTGAGGTGGTTATCGCCGATATCCACCGGACTAATTTTAAATTGTTCACGCTCAAAAATAAGTGGACCCGTATTTTTTCGTTTTCCTGAATGGGCATGTTTATGCCCTTAGTAAACAGAATTTTCAAAAAAAATTCAGCCAAAATTCGGATTTTTGAAAACGCTGTAACTTTTCGAATTTTCACCCGATTTCAAAAAATAAACCCAATCTGTGATCAGAATTACATCCCTGAAAATATAAAATTCCATTTTTAAAAAACTTTTAATTTTCAAAAAATTATTGTTTTTTGGGTTTATAATTCAGAAATAGCATGAAAATATCAAATTTTTTAAATTTTTTAAAATGAATTTTTATCAAGGGCGTAAACATGCTCATTCAGGAAAACGAAAAAATTAGGGTCCACTTATTTTTGAGCGTGAACAATTTAAAATTAGTCCGGTAGATATCGGCGATAAGCACCTCACACCTTCTCATTGTAAGCTAATAAAGTCAAAGATATTATTGGGCATTTTTGGTTTTATGTTGGGGTCATAAAAGAATTTGTCTGGGTAAAGTTCAGTATTATTGATTTTCAATACTCTTCTGGGTACTTTTCAGTATTTTCTTGGGTGCGTTAATTGGAACCCTTTAATTCGTGGTGAAATTTAAACATAATATGTTTAAATATTATTTAAAATTTTAACATTTTTTTGCGAATAGATACATAACAATTAGATTTTATTTGATGTAAATTTTTCTGAATTGTTACATATGGTACATTTTCCTACAACGACCAAATCTTATACTGTGTTGAAGCAAATCGTCCAAAATTTTTCTAACTGATTCTTTCGCGTTCGGAAATATATCAAACATTCGTATATACATCTCAGCATAATGTGCTACATTATTCCACCTCATTCCCTCTAAATCTATCCTTTTCACGGATTCGACAACCTGAATCTGATTTTGCAACGGAATAAATGCATCCGAACAGGACCAAATTTCTAAAATTTCTACCACTGGGAAACATACGTTGTACTCTATCGGTCCAAAATAGCTTGGCATAGTTTCAAACCCGAGCAGCCCAGTAACCATGTCACCCATGATTTTTATTTTTTTCAATTTCGGAAATGTGGGAAATTTCCAGTCCAGCTGTGCCTTTCCCTCCAACTAGAACATGCAGATGGACAGGATTTCCAAAGTGGTGGAATGTTTCTTCAAAAAAGTGTAAAAAATTCTGGGCATCTCGTCCACCCGATCGTCCACTTGGAAGTTGACAGAAAAGTTTAGTTCTCTCAAGCTGCCAGGAATTTCTAGGAGGCATTCCAACCCTCTCGTCGTTTCAGAAATTACATGCAAGACCAATCTATTGAGTGATCTGGAAACAAATACATATTTACAATAATTAATGATTATTTTCAATTATAAAAAATGTAATCCCTGCGAAAAGTAATGTTCATAAATTTAATTTATGAAAATGTATGAGGTCAAATTTTAAAAACTGACTATTTTTATCAGCCGGAGGAAGCAAACTCAACTTCTATTCTTTTCCCATGCTAAAAATCACGCATTTTTCAACTTTGTCCTAAATTATTTTCACAAACATAGCACAAACTCCCTCAAGAAACGTTGGTTATACCTATTAAAACTTGGACCACATAATTTTATAATTTCAATAAAATCGGAGGGTTACACTTCACACCATCGCATTGTTAGTTTAAAAATGTGCAACGTGCAACTTACAGCAATTTTGGGAATATGGTCCCCGCCAGTCTAGGGAAACTATGTCCGTCAAATTCCAGTTTTTTCAGAGTGGGGGAAGCAGCGTGGATAATCTTGTTGCCCAAGTTTCCCGGAAATTTCAATTCATCTCCGGGCTTGTATGTGACATTGATTGATTTGACATTTCTCATCATAGGGAATATTGAAATGTCCACAGGGGGCAGATTGAGAGAGGGGTCAGCGATAACTTGTAACAGCACGTTAACCGGGGAGAATTTGAGTTTGTCGATAACTTCCAAAATAGAGGTATCATTTCGACACAACGAGAGTCTTGTTCTAGTCTTCGCTTTGAGACGGGGGGTTGACCCATAATTCCAAGCGTTCGAGACAAGCCGACACTGCTTGATGTCACTGATTGTCAGGAATTTACACACGTGGCCGACAATCTGTGGAGTCACAGGAAAATTATCAATCTTAAGAATTGCTGAGCAAATAAGCTTCATCCTCCTTTGGAGGACCTCCTGTATTCTTTTGCAAAATGTGTATACTAGTGTATAAGCCCGTCTCCCGCCCTGCGAGAACATATTATTATATATTCGTGAAAATTAAGCCGGATTGTTCATAATTCCAGCGAATAATTTTTTTTTAATTTATAAGTAGCTAGAAATGTCTTTTGGCGAGGGAAGTGAAACTTTCTGCATTTTGCTTCCATCACAGAAAATTACTTCCTACACACCTCCGTTGCAGACAGACATTTCCAGCTTATAATATAGATGCCATCCGTATATTGCCTAATCAAAAATTCTCTATTTTAGCACCCACTGAAACTAAATTACAGATATTTATTGTATTTGTTTTCCATAAGTAGACGTGCTGAATATGTACATCTTGCAAAAAAATAACTGGCATGACACACCCTCTGTAATAAAACTGAAACAAATATATGTGTTAATTGTACCTCGTACTGCAATAATGGCCCAGGGTAGAAATCGGCTGAATTTTCTAAGGGCGAAGTACACCGCATGGAATCACCTTCCTGATCAAATGAATAATGAAACAAGATATGAGATATGTGCATACATAGGTAAATCTTATTAGGACATTAAATAAATAACAAACATTAAATACTACGAAATTGAAACTTTTCAGAACTTACATCTAATCTCTCCTCGCTTAACATAATTAATCACCTGAACGTAAAATCAAGTTCAAATTTCTTGCGTGTAATTAATAATATAAATTTGAGAATGTTTTTTGATGGCTGTATTAATTTCAAAATATTTTGTACAGATGTTCCCTTAGTAGGAATCAAATACAAATGAAAGTGTGCCTTTATTTCTGTGGACTGACCACCACCACCACCATCCCTTTCTCTTTTATGTGCCCTTTCCCCGTGCAAAGTTCCTCACTCTGTGCATCATAACCTGTCAACTTCATGATGTGACTGTCTCACTCATCCACAGAGTTGTAGCGTGCTCCAAATTATTCATAGGGCTTGTACGACGCATATACAGATCAAATATGCATTACTGAAGAAAACCTAAGTTTAGTAATTATGTTGCATCTACATTGAAAGAATAATTAGCTTAATTTTTTTGTTTATTACTCTCAATTCTTTTTCATCGTATTTATCCGTCAAGCGTAAAATTTTACAGGAAAAACAAGTCCTTCAAAAGTTTTATAACTGATTCTTTCGCGTTCGGAAATATATCAAATATTCGCGTATACAGCTTAGCATGGTCTGCTACATTATTCCACCTCCTAACCACCCCTAAATCTATCGTTTTCACGGATTGGACCTGAAAATTATTTTGCGACGGAATAAATGCATCCGAACGGGACCAAATTTCAAAAATTTCCACAACTGGGAAACATATGGTATAATCGATCGGTCCAAAATATCCAGGAATAGTTTCAAACTCGAGCAGCCCTGCCACAATGTTACCCACAATTTTAAAGTTTGTCAATTTCGGAAATGTGGGAAATTTCCAGTCCAGCTGTGCCTTTCCCTCCAACCAGAACATGCGGATGGAAAATATTTCCAAAGTGGGGGAATGTTTTTTCAAAAAAGTGTATCGTTTTCCCGCAACGACCAAATTTTATATTGTGTTGAAGCAAATCGTCCAAAATTTTTCTAACTGATTCTTTCGCGTTCGGAAATATATCAAAGATTCGTATATACAGCCTAGCATAATGTTCTACATGATCCCACCTCTTTCCCTCCAAATCTATCCTTTTCACGGATTCGACAACCTGAATCTGATTTTCCAACGGAATAAATGCATCCGAACTGGACCAAATTTCTAAAATTTCCACCACTGGGAAACATACGTTGTACTCTATCGGTCCAAAATAGCTTGGCATAGTTCCAAACCCGAGCAGCCCAGTAACCATGTCACCCATGATTTTTATTTTTTTCAATTTCGGAAATGTGGGAAATTTCCAGTCCAGCTGTGCCTTTCCCTCCAACTAGAACATGCAGATGGACAGGATTTCCAAAGTGGTGGAATGTTTCTTCAAAAAAGTGTAAAAAATTCTGGGCATCTCGTCCACCCGATCGTCCACTTGGAAGTTGACAGAAAAGTTTAGTTCTCTCAAGCTGCCAGGAATTTCTAGGAGGCATTCCAACCCTCCCGTCGTATCAGGAATTCCATGCAAGACCAACCTATTGAGTGATCTGGAAACAAAAAGATACACATTTATAATAAATCGAGTGTAACGTTATGTATAAACTTAAATTTTAAATCAAGTGTTTTGTAGGAAAAAGTAAGTATTCTCTTTGTTGGTTTAAACAAAAAATGGTAACTACATACATAAATATTAAATTTGATTCACATTTAACACTTCGTGACTTTTCAGTGACCGCTAAGTGTCCTTTCGTGAATTTAGGGTTAAAATCAATCAAATGGTTAGAAGTGTGCAACTTACACCGGCAGCTTGGATAGCTTTCACATCATTGGCATGCTTATCAAATGATCGCTAGCGGTATTGACATATTGCAAATTTTTAAACGAATCTTTCACAGCGTGCCCAAATTTTTCGCGATCGTGGACTTTATAAAGTGTACAGTACGTCGTAACTTTCTTCAATTTCAGGAATACGGTCCCTTCCAGATTAGGGAAACTATGTCCATCAAACTCAAGTGCATTCAGGGTGGGGCAAGCAGCGAGGATAATCTTGTTTCCCAAGTATCCCAGAAATTTCAATTCGTCTCCGGGCTCGTATGCGACATTGATTGATTTGACGTTTCTCATCATGAGGAATATTTCGAGGTCGACGGGGGGCAGATTGAGAGAGGGGACAGCTATAACTTGTAAGAGGACATTGACTGGGGAGAATTTGAGTTTGTCGATAATATCCAAAATAGCGGTATCATTTCGATATATGTAAGGAGATTCTTGTTCTTGTGTTTGCTTTTAGATGGGGGGTGGACCCATAATTCCAAACGTGGGAGACGAGCCGACACTGTTTGATGTCACTGTTTGCCAGAAAGTTGCAGAGATGGCCGACAATCTATGGAATCAAGAGGAAATTATTAATTGGAATGATAGGTGTGTCAAGCTTCATCCTGCTAGAATTTTGATTTTTCTATTTTTGGATTCGCAAACCTTGCCAATCGATTGATTGGCTAGATTTGGGAGATTGCAATCTCTCATATCTACTTAAACCGTGATGATGAGCATAAATTGGCGAATTAATTTTGCGTTTAAGAATATGCTCTTCGCTGGGTAAATTTGCGATAGAAATCCCATGGTTTTCCAACAAAATTTGTCACAATTGTTGATAGGTATGCTCAATTTGCGTGATATGCGAACGTTGACTTACGCTCGTATTGTTATTTGTTTTGCATACATAAGTGGACGTGCAGGTTTTACCTCATGATGCAATAAAGGCCCAGGGTAGGTGTTGGATGCATTTTCTACCGGCGGGGTAGACACCGCATAGAATCACCTTCCTTAAGAAATCAATAATGCAACAAGCTCAATCTAATTCGGTTGTATATAGAAAAACATTTCAAAATCAAAACCATTAACAACTTACTTCGAATATCTCCTCGTTTAACATAATAAATCACCGGACGTATGTGCATATGCACAACTTGTAATTAATTCGAATTTTTTTTTGATGGGTGCATTAATTTTTCTTGATGCGATCACCACCAGAGCCGCTTCTTCGAACGACTGTGTGGTTGATTATGAATATATAAGCAGCAATGTCGGCTCTCACGGGTGGGAGACACCCGTCACCATTCACGTGCGATGAAAGACAGGTGATACATACTTTCTTATTTCTGTAAACCGGTTCAGTGGTGGTGGTTGTGTTAGATTCAATTGAGGAAATAGATAAATTTAATAGATAAATTTGTTTATTTCCAACTATAAATACTTACATAATTAATGTAACATAATTTCAAAAATATGCAATGACAATCACAAAAATAATAAAAATTTTTAAATTGATGAATACGTTGCAAATATGCAGTAAAAACTTGAATTTTGGGTAATTCACTCTCATTTTGCATTTGTGTGAGCATATAAATAATCCGCATGATTTATTTAATGCATAAAAAGTAAAGAAAAGCAAGTAATAAGACGCAAAAGATAAGGTGCATAAAACGATTAGAACTCGGTGCGTTGGGGCTGAAGTCGGGCAAAATGTGAGTTGCGCCACGTAGCTGGCCAACACACTTCCTCGCACTTGTATGGTGACGGGTGTCTGTCTCCCAACCGTGAGAGGCGATATTGTTGCTTATATATTCATAATCAACCACCCAGTCGTTCGAAGAAGCGACTGGTGGTGATCGCATCAACAACATTAATTTAGAGGATGACAAAAAAGAGTGTACAGATGTTCAGTAAATAGCAATCGAAGTGAAATATCTGTAAACTGGGCTGGTTGGGGGTGTATTTATTTCGGCCGATATATCACCCCCACTATCCCTTTCGCTTTCCTTGGGCACACACGTAACGTAACGTTCATTGATTAAGTCATCCAAAAGGTTTTGGTTGTTGGTCGTCCATCTTATTCAGATTAAGCTCAACATGAGTAGATAGTAGGCAGGTGGGTAATACACTTTGTTGTCTTGATGACGTAATATATGAAGGCTACACAACCAAGGCAGAGAGAGTGATTAAAGAGACTTGACCCTTGTCAAGTCATATAATTCCTACTGTACATATATGCATTATTAAGATATACACCGCATAGTGACATATGTATGTAAATATGTACATACATATGCACATACCGTAAATACTCTATTTATAGCCGGGGCTAAAATCCAAAACTGAGGGTCACAGACCCGGCTACAATTAGAGACCCGGCTAAATTTTTCTCCTCCTAGGATTTTCACTTCAAATCTACATCTTTAAACGAGGTTTGGCAGTCTTTTTAATTTTCTGTCATGATTATATCCATTATTAACTTAAAAAATTAATATAGATAAAAATTAACAATTCGACTTGCTCGTTGATTAGCATAATGTGCAACATTTTTCTTGAATGGGCTATGAACGGGGACAAGACATAATTAAAGACCTGGCTAAAATTTTGAAATCTTGTTCTCTAGCCCCGGCTATAATTAGAATAAGGCTATAAATAGAGGTTTTACGTATATATTTACGAGTATCATCTGCTTGTGCAAAAGGTTACACCGATTCCTCCACATTGCTTGGCAACCAACAAAAGTAAACATGTATGAATTTATGCCAATGAAATCAAATGTTAATATTTAGGCGCATACATATATACATACATAATATTTTCGTCTCAAACCTGAACACTACATTGTCCTCCGTACAAGAAGGCTTCTTCGACCTCAGCAGATCTTATCACGCTTATCTAGAATCGTTAACGAATTGTTCCATGTTTAAATAGACACAGATTTAATTTGGAAAAGTGCCCTGCAAAAATAAGCGGGTACGCAAAGTGTACAAATATTCTGTGACGTATGTAAATACATAAATATGTTCTGGAGCGACTAATTAAACAGCATCTTGAAATATGTATATATGGCATGGCTTAATTTATACTTTATTCTCGGTCACTTCGTGCCCATAAAGGAACAATTGTATAAATAGAATCAGAAATCGAATATTTAACAATATTTGTTTTTAACCTGTGTGTATGTAAATTGGTGATTAGAATTACGTGTAAGATTGAGGTCTGGCTAGATTTCATTGGACATATTTTTGTAGTAATTACCTAATTTGAAAATAAATTACTAAACCCTTGTCGTATTCAATATTTTGGAATTTAAATTAAATTAAAAATTATGATTGACAAATCTAGCCCAAAATAATAGATTACATATATTAACGCAACCGGAAC